ATTTTGATAAAATAAAAAAATTGTTAAAATTGAAATCGTTTATAAATAGCTCAAAACAAAAAAAAAACATTTTGAAAATATTATTAGGACTAGAAAAGGCTAATTTTAATATTTGATAAAAATGCTATCAAAAACTGATGAAGCCAAATATTCATATATTTCCGTAATTTTTCGAGATTAATTTGAAATAAAATTGGATATTTTCTAACTTTAAACAGTGTTCAAATTATTAACCTAATCCAATTTTCTATCAGTATTCACTATCGCAATAGCCGATTGAAACATGTTAATTGTTTCGAAACTTTTTGACAGATATACACAACAACAAAATAAAAGCATGATTTAAAAAATAAATGAAAACAATTTTAGAATAAGTATGAGTATACTATCAAATCCGGGTCACGTATTTTCTGTCGGGGTTTAATTATTGTGGAATCGTTTCTATTTAAATATATTTTTTAAAAGACAGAACAAAAGAAATCCGTAGTGATTGACGTACAAAATAAAAGGGGTTTCTTGATGTATTATTATTACTGAGGTGTTTTAGAGATTTTTTTTTTGAAAATTTACATTTGTTGAACGATTATTGTAAAAATCAGAATGTATAGATTTTATACAAATGAGTGTAAATTTCATTTACATTAAAACGGGTACATAAAATATATATGGGATGGTTAATCCTATGTATGAGTATATTACATCTTTGAACGTTAAAATAATGTTTCGCTATCACGCTGCCGTTAACAAAATAATATGCATATATGAACTCAATTTCGTGGAAATAACATCAAGAATCCTTTTTAATGGGCTATGCCACTATAAAATACTCTTTAAAAAAAATGTGATTCAACAGAGGATTTAATTTTTTTGAACCTAGTGTTAATTGTTAATATGTATATTGTATATTTTTGATCATAAATATTGTTTGATGATATCAATTTCAAAAGTAAATTAATTAAACAATTTTAACTTAAAAATAAAATTATATTCACAAAATATGATTAATAGTGATAGTTATAACTAAAGAATTGTATCATTGTATCTGTCCAATCAAGTTGATTAATTTAAACAATTAATTTTTATTTAAACACAAAAAATTTGAAAATTTGACTTTTTTATATTCAATAGATTAAAATAATTGTGTTGATATTCTTAAAGCAATATAAAAAATGACCAAATTTATGAATGTGTCATGATTAAAGAGTATAATATTCGAATGCCATAGTCGGTCAATATCGTTTTTATCTCATAGCTTATATGTAACGACTAGCCAGTCATCGTTATCGCATACCAGGGGGCGTAAGCTATAAACGTGTAAGCAATGAATTCGAAAGCCTTGGCTGAGATGTCTTGGCACGGCATCACATTTTACACCGTTTCGTAAAATAAGATCTTAACTGCAGAATTTCATTTAATATTRAATTAAAATTCGATTAATTCGTATGAATTAAAACTTAGGATTTACATTATATTCCTATATAACATGATATGGAACTGATGATACACAACGAGTGTTTTACTTTTTGTTRGTTCAGATCTCATGTTATGTGTACTTTACTCAAAGCTCGGCTTCTAAATATTTGATTTTCCACACACTTAATCTATTTCTTCTATTTTTAAATGCTGGAGTATAAAATATTAAGGATCTACATGACGTGACGATCATTTGTGCGTTTATTCTAATTCGTCGCCTATTGGATCAGGTGCTTAATGGATTTGTTAAATTTTCTATAGATACTATCATTGTTTTTTTTTCACTTTACAATATTGCCCTGTCATTAGCATAAGTGCCCATGCCTGGAAATGTAGGTCAGGACTTGGGGAAACATAATTGTTTTTGTTTTATTTTAATATAAAATWAGTGTTTGAAAATTTCATGAATGTTTCATGAAAATTTTAAAATCTATAAAATATTACTTAGTTATAACTAATATGTTTACCATGGCACTCACAGCATTAATATTAATTTTCGAACCACCTAGAACTCATTGGCTATATTATGAATACTTGATAAATAACCATCATCGATTTTTTGCACTCAAAAACTTTATTTTCAAACTTCAAACATTAGATAGTACAATATAAAATAGAATTATAATAAGCTATATTTTTCATTGAAATATTTTAGAAAACTGGTAAGTAAAACTCTATTATTTTAATAGAGTTTAGTTCCTGAGTACCTTATACGGTGTAATGGTATGCAATTCAATTCGGAATTTACCATTGTCCGAAATTTGKMGAGGGGTGACTAGAAGAGGTATTTATTAATGATTTACTAACCAAGACTTCACATAAAGCATAGGTACTTGCTGTCAATAAATTATATTTATTTATTAACCAATTAAAAGAAAATTTTATTTTGCACATGTATTTCTATGAAAAATCTATATCCAACAGATAATAATATTAAGACTGAAGAAAAACCCAGAAAACAAAAAACAATGAAAATGCACTTTTATATCATATTTTATTACTAACGTATTCATTACAGGTGCAAAATCAAATCATCATTAAAATGATATCATATTGAATTATAATCACTGTTTTGTAACTGTGGTTATGGTTCAACCACAATCTCATATTGTAATAACATGCAATTATGCCATACGAAATAACAATAATAATATGTGATAATATCATAAAACATGAAAACAAATTCAATATTTTGATTCTAATTGAGTATAATATTATGACTAACATTTTATTAAATAAATTGTAAGGAGGGGGGGGTGGAATAAGCTTTACACAACACAATAGATAAACGAGAATTCATCACCTTATCGCCATTGGTTTGTAAAATATAAATTCTAATGAAATGTGATTCCACGTGTTCGTTTGACATATTTCTGTTCGTTAATTCATCAATTTAAACGATGTAAGTTAAATTTGAATACGTAGATATTTACATGCACTCTAAAAATAAATTCATCCAACTCGATAATATTTATTTTTTCACCAGTTGTATATTTAAAACACAAAGTTCAAAATAATATTTTGTTTCATTAGTTAAAATTACTATAACAAGGAATGGTATTGATCATTTCTTTAATATTCCTTTATGTTTTTAATAGTATGATTTGTATTTAAATAATTGTGTTGTCCAACAGAAAAGTACCWACGTAATAATAATAACATGTTAAATAGAAATTATTTTGTCTTTGAAATCAAAATCTTGTTGTAATTTAAGTGAAAAAATTKAAGTTATAAAATCATACCTACGTTTTATTATAATTAGAATTTATGGATTTACAAAACAATAATTAATTTGGTTTTGCTAGAATTTGTTGAAAGTACTTTTTTCGATTATAAAGTGCGCAGTAAGCCATTTATTTATGTAACGCAGTTCTGAACTAAGTTAAGCTGTTCGTAGATTAAATGAGCATAAAATTAATGTTATTGAGTTTATATTGTTGGAATTGGAAAATTATATTATAATGAAAAAATAAATTTACATTCATTTCAAAATAAATAGAGAAAATTGTTTTCAATTAATTTATTTCGTAAAAATTGTTTRTTGGTTTTCCACATAAAATTAAGTAATCTAAYCRATCCTTAAACATAACGYATGTCATTTGTATATTCATAAAACATAATGATATATTGATATATTAATATAAAAAAATATATCACGGCGCTTTAAGTATGCAATTTCATAACTTATTTGACAATGAATTACAAGTTAAAATTGATTGRGGTATTTTAATATTTAACGGACTAAGCAGTAGCCAATAGTCTTCTACAGCCAATAATYAAATATATTATAAYATTGTAGTGTTATAATTGTGATATTTTAAATAGGTATTGGGTATTGATGGGGTACACCGGATCATGGATGTAGTATACAATTTTAAATTGTWATGTGATTTTAATTTGTATTACCGTATTAAAAATGGATTTTATAACATAATGAAGTTAAATAATAATAACCGTTTTTGTACACTCAAAAACAAAATTATTTGTATATTATATTAATTACTATTAGTCTTGATACCTATAATTTTATAGCCATGTATTTATTTATRGTGTAAACATTATTTTAATATTTCTGTAGTAACATAATAATGTGTTTCTTTGAAAAAAAATAGTTAGAATTTACGCTTTATATTGTTAAAACAGTGAGAAGTGATTATTCCGTTTGAGATATATTATATATATTTAAGCCGTACAATACTTGTTTAATCGTACGTTATTGAGTTGATATAGGTAAACTAAATTTCCACCAGAGAAACTGTGAAGGAATAAAGGCTTACATATTTCTCAGACGTAAAATRATATCGTGTCTCGCATCACAATTTTATGGAAAAACGTTTCGTCAATAAATAATAACAATATAGTGAAGAAACAATGAACCTTAATACAAATTCTAATATTATTCTGTAACCTTGATTTTGCTCCATTATTGAGTCTTTTAAATTAATATTGTGGTGAGAAAACTCCACAATTCTACGCGAAAGACATTATTTTTGGTTACCTAGTATCTACTATGATATTATATTATACTAATGTTATGAAAATTGTATTTTTCATATATTATTTTTTTTTTTTTTAACTTTGCAAGTTTTTCTATAAAATGTTTATTCGAGTAGGTTAGTTTTTATGATTTTGTATACGAATGTATCCAATGACTATATTTTATAGAGAAAGTTTATTTTACTCACGTGTGACTGCATTAAGTTCAGTTTGTTGATGGAGTTGGGAATTTTTGACGGGGTAGTAAATGCGTTTCCTGAAATGACTGATGGTGCGGTGGGTGTATATTGAAATGATGTGTCTTGAAGGCGATCCGAAATAATTGTGTCCTGACCTTCATTTGTCTATATAAAAATAAAAAAATAAATAATAAAAAAATGGTATAAATATTTGAAATAAAACTTTTATTGAAACTTTGTGTTATAATTTTATTATTTTTTATAAAATAATTTTAAATATTTAATGTCTATAAAAAAATATTTCCTAAGTGAGAATTCATAAATTTCTGGAAATTCAATACAAAAATCAGTGAAGTCTTTACTTTTAATCCACACATAAGACATAAACAATCAGGTCACTYTAATAAATAATATAATTTTAAACATACTGTCTGATTTATTGATGTATTTATTCTTTCGCATTTTTTTTTGTTAAATAATAATGGAATAATAAGCAAAACAAAAATGAATATATGTTGTTCGATAAATTACCAAATTAAATATTGTATAGATGAAGAATCCTATGCATTTCAATTTTTAGGTATTGTATACATCATATCAGATTTTAATTTGAACTCTTAACTTTATATACAATGTACACGTATAATTTTATTTAAAAATTTGATATTTTAATATAATTAAATTACTAGTATAATTGTGGCTTAGTCAATGTAAATGGACTACCTATCTGAGTAATTGAATGTACTTAATAGTAATATAATAGGTTTTGTAAAATGATTTTAATTAGTTAAACATTTGGTGTGTAATAAAAAATGTTTAGCAAACTAACTAAACAAATAATATACTTTATTCAATTTATTTTTATGAAATAAGTTTGGAAAATACCTATTGATATTCTAAATATCTTTTAAAATATCTTATACCGAATTCGAGAAACTAAGTTACGTCATATACTATTGTTCTCAGAAAAATTGTATACCTTAATAAAGTTAGTAATAATAATAATTTGAATAAATGTCTAAACTTTCTCTTGTGTCTTTTTGGCTCGAAAGAATATCAAATATTAGGGAATATTTATTATAAAGGATATTAGTATAATTTACGTATAGCAAACACTGTTTATTTTTTGAAGAACTTTGATCAAACATCTTAAACATTATGAACATAMAACAACATCCAATCTATATATATTTTACATAAATCGTGATTTTTAAAATTTTAATAAAAATTTGATGGAAAACAATATCATGGTTTTACCTTTATATATATCACAAGCGTTCAAGTAAATATATACAACTGAATAATCATTGGACATAAAATATTAGATAACATGTTACGATGTTACGTCCACGTAGAAAATGTGATTATATTTAGTCYGTTTGTATTCTGTTTTCAATGGGMAAGTATTATATAAAATTTTAAATTATTTTCCTCYTTCGTMGCTGGTGACAGCTATTAATTTCGAGTAGTGGCAGATTTCTTTTGGGTTTATTGTATTTGCTCGATAGCGTGGAAAAATTAATACGACTCGGAGCGATAAGAGGTGGTTACGGCACCGCCTCGTCCTAAAACTTTCAGCGCAAGACAGGGCCAGGGTTTACTATTATTTGAAATRGTACGATAGACGGGAATCAATTACTATTAAAACCCTGACGGCGTCCCATATTTAAATTTGACAAGCTCTATCAGTTTATAAAATATCAGACTACCAGTATAAACATTTTGTTATTTTAAAATTATTAAAAAAAATCCAAAAGAGAATAAATTGACAAATTTGAATTTTAATAGATATAAAACTTGACCCTAGATATTWAACAACTGAAAATTAAAAATCGTCTCAGTATCTACACTCTAAAATATTTATTTATCGAGCAATAATCTTTAAATAATAATAAATAATTAAAACATAATTTTAAA